GGGGAGGGGGGCTCCGGGAGCCGGGGGCGGCGGGAGAAGCCGGTCCTGGCGGAGCAGCGCGGCCCTTTGGCCTTCACCGCCCTCAGGCGCCTCGGCTGGGCGCCCGCGGTGGCAGGAGCTGCGTCAGAGCTGTCGGAGGAGCCTGTGACCCATCGCGTTCCCTGTGGGTTTGAGGGGGGGGCAGAGCTGTCACTTTGTGCTGCTCCTGACTGTGGCTTCCTAGGCACGAGACGCTAGTGCCACAGCTTCCCTTCCACGTATTTTAATATCCTGCTCTTCTAACGTAGTTCATAAGGCAGGATGCGGGTTAGTCACTGTCCTTGTCTGTTTTGTCCTTCGTTTGTTGTCCTTGGCATCCGTAAGTCGTTGTTCCTGTGGTGCAGGCGGAACTGGAGAGATGCTGAAGTGGAGTAAATAACAGTCTTAAATTGTTGCTAAACAAAAAGAATGTAGTTGGATTGCTGTCATTTTACTTATTCCCAGTGTTACAGTAGTTTTATAGCATGCAAGAAAGGCAGATAGGAAAATATAATAGCATGTTAACAAGACTTAGCATAGATTAGAAAGGAGAACATGTAGGAAAGCTAAGATTTAAAAAAAAAAAAAAAGCTTTGAAATGCAGGCTCCATTTCTGCACCACATCAGCTGATGCGGTTGCTGGAGTTCTGTACCCTCTTACCCTCTGCTGGTTGTAGTACTCTTTAGAATACTGAACTGGTAGAGGATTAACTCAGTAACAAAACAAACAATTGTTTTCTGCTGGATTAACACACAGAAGTCATGATAATCAAAAGTTAAGGGAGGATGAGGGGTGAAATTGCAGCAATCAGTTAAGTTGGTGTTGGCTGCTGTGAATCTTTGGCCCCTGTTTTATGTGTTTCACCCCATCAGGAGTTCTAATGAAAACTGTCTTGTGCCTTCTGAACAAGTTAGCTTGGAACAGTCCATTGTGGGGTGGGGGCTCTTTGGTTTTAGGGGATTTTTTTATTTTTTAATTTTTTTTTTCAGAATTGCTAACTTTGCATTAAGTTATTGCAAGAGATGTAACAAATTATAGCCTCACTCTTGCTATTTCAGTCACAGGTTATTCTAAGGAACTTGTGGGCTTTTGTTTTTTTTTTCCTAGTAACTACACATGGGAGGTGTTTTGTCACGTTCTGAGTTGCCTAGCCTGTGTTGGAAGGGGATGGAGTTCTAACTCCAGTTCTCAGTTTTCTCAATGGACTACAGAAACACTTAGCTTCTCATATTTTCTTTCTGTGTCTCTTTCAGCTGTGCTGGGGTGTGCAAATATGAAGGAAGAGGGGGAATGTGTTCCATTCGTCTAAGTGAGCCGCTCCTAAAGTTAAGACCAAGGAAGGATCTTGTTGAGGTATTGGAAGATGGCTTGTGAATCTGCACATAAAATGTGTTGTGCTTCCCCCCGCAGTCCATGCAAACATTTTACAGTTCATAGTGGGATCCTTATATACAGTAACTTAAATATCATAAAATAGTGATGGCTTTATTCTGTTGATGGTGTTGCAATATCATGGTAATCTCTCAGTTCTGTGTTTCTAAATGCACAACTCTGAGTAGGAGTCTAAAGTCACTTGTTAATTTTACCGACTATATAAAGAAAAAAAAGGGGTTTTATTCCAAAATTTTGCTCTATTACTAAAAACAACAATGGACTGAAAGCACAATCGGAAAATTGTAATTTAATCTTTTAGGTCAAAAGGCCAGCAGCAGAAAATGAGGTTTTAGGATATGACTGTAACCAAAACTTTGTGTTGCTTCTTGCGCCTTTGTCAGGGTTGCTGCTTTGAGTAGCCTCAACGTTCAGATTTGCTTAATGAACAGAAATTCTGCAGAGTTTCACTTTTCTCACGAGTGTCTCTTTTTTGGTTTGTAGCAGGGATGATCTCTTTGAAGATCTGGCTTAAGTTTGAGGGCTGTTTCTCATTTTTTAAATGTGACTTGCTGTAGTAATATTCTCCAGTGTGTTTTGGTGGTGTGGGGATAGAGGTAATTTGATTTTACAGGTAGAATAAGTATTATGTTCTTTATGACCCAGAGTGAGCATGTGAATGTATGAAAATAAGATCAGCACCAAGATAAATGTAGAGAAGTAAAATACTCGCAGCATAATTTTGAAGCTATATGAAATGTTTTTCAGTAAACAGCTTATGATTTGCATTATTTCAGACACTGTTGCATGAAATGATCCATGCCCTGCTTTTTGTTACTAATAATGACAAAGATCGTGAATCTCATGGACCAGAGTTCTGCAAACACATGCATCGCATTAATCGCTTGACTGGAGCCAATGTCACAGTAAGTATAATCCACTTAACCTGAGATTTCTTCCCAATAAAATTTATTTTTTAGTATGCCTGATGCGGTATGAGTGATATACTTGTTTTTATGAGACACTCCCCAATTGGTACCAATACAGATTTGCATCCAAGTGTATGCCAGTTCCATAGTTATTTTGTTGGGGATCGTAGTTAGGAGCAGGTTGAGGAAGATGGGGTGTGTTGTTAGTGATACAGTTTTCAAGTGTACCCTGTGTAAGTATTTTTCTTTCAACTTCTGTTTTAAAATCTAAATAATTTAATGAGGGACAGATTAACTCCATATTCAGGGTAATGTTTGGGGAAGAGTATTCTGTCATAATTAAGATTTATATCAGTAGAGGCTAATCGGTTGATCATATCTAAAAACTATGTCTAATTCATCAATTAATGAAATACAGAGAATGCACTACTTATATTGTCTACAATGCATTCTAAACAGTACATAATTTAGGGTGAAATTGTAGGTTGATTTTCAAAGTTATTTTATTGCAGTTCAAACAAGATAACCAGGACAAACTCCTACCCATCCTGGGGGTTTTTTAACCTTTTTTTAATGGTAGCTAAATAGTGATCAAATTTTATCCAGGTTCAGTTCTTTTAACTTGGTAATGTGCAAATCGCAGCAGTGACGGAGATAATTACAGGGTAATACTTTTTTTTTAATACTGTAGAGCTAGTGCTACAAAATTAAAAACTTATTGAATGACTGCTTTTTTTCTTTTTCATTTTTTAATTCAACCTAGATCTATCATAGTTTTCATGATGAGGTGGATTTGTACCGCCAGCACTGGTGGCGATGCAATGGCCCCTGTCGAAATAGAAGACCTTACTTTGGTTATGTGAAACGTGCAATGAATAGAGCACCCTCTGCACGAGACTTCTGGTGGGCTGAGCATCAAGAGAGATGTGGAGGTACATTCACAAAAGTGAAGGAGCCAGAGAACTTCTCTAAGAAATCCAAGGAGAAAACTCAGCCAGCAGAACTTCCAAGTTCTGAGTCAACTAACAAAGGTATTTAAAAATATATATGTATTTTCTAAACTGTTGGTCTAAACATTTCCTTGAACACAGATCAATCACAACGTGAGCTTTATGTAGTTATTGTTATGTAGCAAAGAACAGGACCCATTTTATTTGTGAATTTCTAGGCTCCTTCTTAAATGAATTGTTTGCAAAGGCTTAGTTTGCAGCACTGTTTTCAAGCAGCAGATTTTTCAGGTGAAGTACGTAAAATACTAAGCTTGTGATTTATATATGATGAAGTTACTAACCTTTCTTCTCTTATTTTGCAGGAAAGACACAAACACGTGATACACAATGTCAGATGCCTTTTAGTGGCAAGGGGTATCGTCTTGGGGGAGACAGTGGACTCTCAGAAAAAAACAGAGATTCCAGCAGCAGTGTTAGAAAGAGTGAAACACCTGGATCACAGCATCGTTCAGCAGTAAAGACAATACCAATCCCTAAAAACGAGATAAAATTTGAAAAATCACCCCGTAGTGGTATCTTATTTCCACTTTATACTGGTGATGGCAGTGAGAAGATCAACTTAGGTTCAAAGCGAGAGTTTCCTAAGCTCTCTGTTGCCAATACAAAGGCCTACAAGAATGTTGGCGGATCACCTGTTAAAATTCCTCATGTTACAAAAGAAAAATCAAGCCAAGGTTCTGCAAGTGGCAAGAGGGTTATGCCATTATTTTATACCAGGGCACCCAAACAAATTTGTTTTGAGGAGACATCAGCATCACAGGTTGCATCTGAGAAAAAAAGCTCTGAGGGTACTAATGTGCTGCAGCAATGGCCGAAGTCGGAAGACAGAACTGCCTTTGAAAACTATTTCATTAGAAAAGACAGTTCTGATGTCCCCTTAAGTATGAACACAGCTATGAAAACCAAAGCTGATTCTTCTGTGTCCTCAGCAAGTTCCAGCACTGCTGTAAGGCAGGATAAAAAAGTCAGTTGTCCTGTTTGCCAAACTGAGGTTTTGGAGTCTAAAATAAATGAACACCTTGATTCTTGTCTTGCATGAAACCTTTTAGAAAGCTGTCTCACAGAAGAAATGAGGGCTGAAAAATAAACAGAAGAATTCTAAGTGACGGGTATTTTTAGAAAAAAACAAGAACAATCCTTTTGAAGAGCTTGTTTTCAGGAAGGGTGTAAAAGTTACCTAAGCTGTTAAAAGTTGGAGTGGTCAAGTGGAAGTTCATGAATGTCAGTCTTCTGGCCCAAGATCCCAGCTAGACCACCTACTTTTCCTGATAGTTTGCACAAACTCTGTTGAAAGTTCAGTAGTTATTAGGGTATGGGTTTTACATGCAGGAGTCACTGACCCCCCATATGCTGTTACGGGTTAGGAAAAGGTGTAAGGAGTATCGGTAGCAATACTGTTAGACTGTTCCCATCTGTATCATAAAAGCCTTTAGATTTTTCAGTTAAAGCACTTTACAGACCAAAATGACATTAAATTGACTTTAGTTGACAGTCTTTGTTTTGCTTCTGGAAGCCAGCCAGCTTGGTGGTTCATGTCCAACAGGCCAGTCACTGGACTATGAAAACCATCATGCTTTGAAAAGTTATGGATGCTGTGCAGATGTGTTTGCTATTTAAACTTGCTGAAATGTTAACAGTTCTCTTGCTGCACTGGAAGTATTTAGCTGGTTAAACACTTAACAGCTTGATTCCTTACTTATAAAACTGGTTATAAATATTTTTATTTTAAAAATTAAGAAAAGAGTTAATGCTGTTTCGTGTATTGTTGCAACAACTTTAAATGGCTGTATTAGCCTCAGATGCTCGTATGTGTTTGCCTTTGATTACTTGCTGCTCCCTTTTGAAGTTGGAAAGTAAACTGATGTGCAATGGAGTTTGACAAATCATACGTTTACTCTTTTTAAACGTTGGTGTATTTTTTTAAATGCTGGCACTACAGTTTTTATATGTGAATTGGATTTTTCTTGCATATTCTGAATAAATTGGTATCCTAAATTTTCATTAACCTATGTTTCACATAGCAGTTGTGGCTATCTTGTGTTACTCACCAGTGGGCTCACTTGTATATCTAGTCACAGTATGGTTTAATAGATTCTTTCTGTATTAACACTTTTCCTTAAAATTCCTTGTAAAAACAGGAATTGCTGAATATTGATTGCATCAGCCTTCTCCATCATATTTTAGTGCAGCTTCAATTTTGTTGCATTTCTGTGCAAAACTTTACAAGTACTGATTCTAAAACTTGACATGCTGATTTTCCATACTTCCTTCTTAAAACTGCAATATTTGTCTGTGTGCTCAGTAAAACTTGACGTTTACAAGGAGGAGGGAGGATTGTGGGAATTGTTAAATGGATCATTTTCTTTTCCAAAGTCTTTTCATCAGCAGTGTTCATTTGAACAACAGATAACACAAATGTGGGAATTGGCCTGTAGAACTCTGAATTGTAGAGTCTGGTGTGGCTGGAGGGGGGTGGAGCTTAAGCTATAGGCAAATCCTGTCTCAAATATACAAGTGTCTTAAAAATAGATCTGTTTTCAAAACAACTGTGCAACTGTGCAAAAGCATCACTTCTGCCCATGCCTGATTTTACAATGAAGTATTATGATGCCAAGATCTCTTTTATACAGAGATAAAGGTGACAAAGAGCTGAGTTGTTGAGTATTTGCATTATTCCTTTCCCTTCTCTTTTCTTTTCCTTCCCTTCTCTTTTCTTCCTCACTCCTCTGTTTCACTTGTCTCTCTCTGATACTGAACTGTCCAAGAAGACAAAAACCTCATGCAATGAGCAAACTTGGTTTCAGGGAGGAAAGTGGTCCAGAAAAACATTTCTGTCCTTGGACCTCTTCCCACAGCTGTTGGGGGTGGCTCCAGAAAGCCAGCAGCTGAAGAGCTCATCTGAAGAGACAAGGTAAAATGAGCTAGCTTGGATTAAGAGTAAAAGTGGTTTCAGTTCATCATGGCTGTACCTGTCTAACAATACTCTTGAATGGAAAGGTTGCCAGGCTCTTAAAAAAAAACACTGAAAGTGAAAAGCAACTTGAGAGGGGAGCAGTGGGCACCTGGAGAGCAAGAGAAGGTTGGACTGAGGTTTCTGCAATAGGCAGCTGAGGAAATCCATGCAGGTAAGAAGGAGGCGCCCAAGTGTGCAGCAGACTCTGATGTCCACCTTTTGAAGCTCTGAACAAATCTTTCTGAGGTGCAGGGAGATGGCCCTAGGCAGGGCTCTCTCTGCTGTGCCAGGAACTACCCCTTTGTCATTGGACTTCCTAAAGAATGGGGCACAAAGTCACATGTGTTCCTGCCCTTGTAGTTTTAGCAGTGCTGACTCTCCTTTTAGGTGCTGATTTTATTTTTCTGCTTGAATTCCCTGGATGAGCACTGAGACCTGGGCTTTGAAGGACGCTATGCAGCCCCAGCACCACTTGGGTGGAGACGAGGGGAGAGACACCATGCCCTTCTGCTCTGGCTGGCAGATTTCACTTCTGCAGCACTAAGCTGGAGCAGCCGTGCACTGCTTTCTGACCCATCCCACCCCTCCCAGGAGACCTTGCTGGCTGCATTTGAGAAATTAATGTTCGTCTGTACCATATGTTGTTTTGGATACACATTAGAGTATAACCTGCCCGGGTGATGTCTTAGCTCCCTTTCCTCCCCTTAATCCAATCTACAGTGCTAAGTGTTCTGATTCAGTGGTTTTACAATTTAGAAAGTAGTTATTTCCCATTTTTTAGATAACATTACTAATAGTTTTGTATTACCATCTATTTAAGACATTAATTTTTGGATGTACTCCATATTGGTTTTTATACATGTTAGAGTAGAATCTGCCCATGTGATGTCCCCCTGTTATGTCCTCCCTTAATCCAATCTAGATACAGTACTGTGTTCTGGTTGAGAGTTTTGCAATTTAGAAAGTATTTGTTTCATCTTCTTTGAGCACACACTTGTAGTTGTTTGGCTTTATTTCTCAAGACTAGACTTAGAGTGACTTTGCAGCTGTATCAGTAAAAGAGCAGAAAGAATGACACAAGTCCTCTCCCCTTACCTTGCCACCTGCATCCCACCGTGTGCAAAATGGAAAAGAATGCATATGGTGAGAGTCCATATGCCTACTGGGGTTCAGCTCCTTTCAGAAGGAAGAACACAAGCGCCAGCCACAGCGGGGGAAAGAAATTGGATGGCTTTTCTGCAGGTCTTGGCAGTGGTTGTGCAGGAGTCAGCAGAGTGTGGAAATTCAGGCGCAACTTTCCCAGCTGGCACCTGAAGGGATTCAGAGGCAATGCCATCTTTTCTTCACGGGCAAAGCCTCACTTGATACCCTGGGCAATTGCTGCCTTAATTACACTCCTGACTGCTCCAAGCTCTGCACTATGGCAAAACTGAGGGCATTTAGAAAAAAATAAAAAAATCCCAAACCTTTTGGAAGAAAAACAATCCCTATGCACCCAAAAGGAAGAACCATCAAATGTGGAGACCTTGGTGTGGTCTTCCCTATCATCCCCATTCATTTTCCTGCCTCTGTGGTTAGTTGAGAGCAGCAGTGGGTCCAGAGTTACTAACTGGAGGCAATGTTGCTACTGTACATGCAGCTTGCTCGGGGAGTGCTTCCGACAGTCTCCACTAACATGTTGTGGTGCCAAGTTGTGCCCTGTTCTCTATTCTGTAGCACAGATATCCCAATGAATACTGCAACCAAAACAATTAATACATACAGGATTATAAAAATGTCGTCCCAACCCTCTGCAAACAAAGCTGTCTTAAATCTAAGTACTAACAGAGGGATCTGTTTGTAACTGAATGACCGAAAGGTGCCTGTTCCCCTTGCCTTTGCTGGAATACCTTGTATGGACTGCCCGCAGTTCTCAGCGTTTCTTAAGTCATCCTCCTGTCTGACATTTCTTACTCTTTATAGAAAAAGATGTCCAGCTTTTGTTTTTTCATAAACTCACAAGTTTGTTCTTTCTTGCTGTTACCCTTCAGTTACACGATCTCAGCTTCCCATGAGCTCACAGCCTCCTTCAGGCATCTGCCTGCTCCAGCCTGGGGTCCTCTGCAGGTTGCAGGTGGATATCTTCTACACCATGGACCTCCCTGGGCTACAGGGGCACAGCCTGCCTCACCATGGTCTTTCCTGAGGGCTGCAGGGGAATCTGTGCTCTGCCACCTCCTCTCCCTCCTTCCCCACTGACCTTGGTGTCTGCAGAGTTAATGCTCTCACATACTCCTCTCTTTGGCTGATGTTGCACAGGTTCTTTCACCGCTTCTTAAGTATGTTGTCCTGGAGGTGCTACCACTGTCACTGATGGGCTTGGCCTGGGCCAGCGATGGGTCCATCTTGGATTATTTCAGTTGTTTTGAAGTCTTGAGTTTAAAGAACAATTGCTTGTGTGTGAACATAAAGAGTCTACATTAAACTACCCTTAAAGTGTAGCTTATGGGTAGACAGGCCACGAAAGAGACTTGGGTTTCAGTGTGTGTGTGTGTGTGAATACGCTGTGTTTGGTTTTATATCCTCGAGTACATAGGAATAATACCGACACCGGGCTGTGTGGAGCTTTGGGATTCTTCAAGAGGCCATTAGGTGGCACTCCCTGCACTTCAGGAACAATTCGTTCGTCCTCTCCAACCTGTACATGGCAAGAGCAGAAAGTGCAGAACTGGAGGCTCGTATTTCGCCAACACTTGCACTCCCAGCTGAAGGCAGATTAGCAGGAGCCGTGACTGCACCACAGGGAAGTTAAGGGAGGAACGGGAACGGTGTGGGGGGGCCCTACAACTAGTGGAGAGTTTTGAGAAGTAAATTTACAGCTAACTGGGCTTCTGTGAGTGTTTCCTTTAGCTTTGCTGCAAGAGGGACTTGGAAGATGAGACAGTAGCTCCTTTTTCAGTTCAGGGCTCAGTGAATAACCCAACAAGCATCTTTCTCTGGTCCTCACTGTATTCCTCACTGCTTGCATAGATCGCAGTGAAAAATCTAGTTTTCTGTCACTATTTGACATCAGGCCAGCTCCTCAAGAGAGGCAGGATGGAGTTGCA